ATCTCCGAATCAGTTTCGGCCGAATCAAATCAGGACAGTGATTCAAATCACCGAATCGAATCACTGTCCCCCGAATCGGCCAAATCTGAAGTGAATACTAGCCGCTTCACACAGACCTAGTAAATGGTATCATTTTTATCTCGTAGTATTTTAGTTTGCACTAGGATAAGTGACACAGAACAATAGTATGACTAGAGGCTACGACCAAAGCAGTTGCGCTGGTAGGAATTTTCTTATCTAGTGTAGAGGGGACTAACCCATCCTTTTAAAGGTGTTTTTGATCTATACTTCAGTCTTGCAAATTCCAAAGCTGCAGAATGAGGTAAAACCACTTAAAATATGCTCGGGTACTGTGTACAGTGCAAGTTTAAACTATGCTTTAAAGATAACAAATATGAGAAGAAACTGGGATTGTGTCTTTTTTGCTTTCACATAGAAGATTCTCTCACTCCGCCCTTTTCCTCCCTCTTTTTAGGACTTATGCCTTAGAAAAATCAGGCCTGGCAAATCTGATCTTACCTTGTTTTGCAGAAGAAATATCAAAGGTGTCAAAGAACTGGATTATGAACTATTTCAACCTAACTAGAAAGTAAAATATCTTGAATTTTTAGCAAAGTTATTTCTTACCAGGTTTTGTTGGGCAATTGTATTCAAAAGGTGTTAACAAACATCGACTTAAACCTCTTACTAAAAATCTGTCTCTCAGTGAATTGAATTTCACTTCTTCAGTGCTGTGATGTTATAAAAATCCTAGCTGTCCTTCTGTGGTAGAGCTTTCCTTGTACCCATTGGGGAATCTTTCAAGATGGAAAATTCTGAATTTCTTTAAAAAGTAAAGGAGGAAAAACAGGAATTTTTTTCTTGCCCAGTTTATATATAATGAAGCAAATTAAACACACAGGCTAGGGACAGAAGTTACACATAAACCAGTTTAAGTGATCCAAAACTTGTTTAAACCTATAACAGAACAGAAGTTCAGTGCACATAAGCCAATTTCAAAATGGCAGAAACTAGTTTAAGATAAATGTGGTTGGATGTATTATCAGACTTAACTGATTTAGTTAAACCGGTTTATGGAACTTCTTTCCAGATCAAAATGATTGTGACGGAGCAGCTCCAGTGCTCTGTTACTTTAAGGGCTGGAGCAGGCACCAGGCAGGTGTTTGATTAGGGTGGTCATTTAAGAGTCAGCTCTCTGGGCCCTGGCAGCAGTTTGCTGCCAGACAGCAAGGGAGAAACATCATCCTGCTACTGCTCCAGGAACATCTTGGAAGGGCTATGGGGAAGGAGGAGGCCGCTGGTCCTGGGCATGACCGAAAACTGCACCCTGCTAGAGAAGGGAGGCCCACCAGGGACTGCCAGTGACGGGGCAGCCCCATGTAAATACCAGGACCGCTAACTTCCCCAGTGAAAGGCGGGTTGGGATGCCTCAATAACTCCAGCCCCTATCATCCAGTGGGTTACTGGAGGGGAGTACTGGGGCCAGGTACTTCTACTAAGAGGCACCTGAGCCCTAAGGGGTGTAAGACCCTGTGCCTTAGCCAGAGTGAAGAGTGGGGCCAGTTCTGCTCAGAGAGCCTGCAGGGGTGTAAGATCCCAGACTCCAGCATAGGGGTGGAGTGTTGGCCCAAGGAAGGGGCAAAGTGGCCCAGTGAGGGACTAGGGGGTGAAGTTGGCCCATAGTTGGTTAATCGCCCAGCCTAGTTCAGATAAGGGTCATGGGAGAGACCCAAAAGGCTGTGCTAGGACTGACCGAAGAGAGGAGAGCAAAGTCTGATGGCCAACGGGAGCCGCTTAAAGGAGCAGAGCAGAATGATTGAGGCGCAAAGGGCCTCACATGTGAAAGCAGGCAGAGAGGAAAAGACCCCAGTGTGTGTGTGGCCCAAGAGGGCAGTGTGTGAGAGACCTAACTGTGTGCCTAGTTTGGCCCGGTCTTGAGTCGAAGATTTAACACACAGTGAGACATCTGCGAGGCATGGGACACATGTAAGGGCAAGTCTGAGCATGTATGTACCACCCATTACAGCTGGGTGCTGGAAGGGCAGCCTCCTGCCTAATTAACATTTTAATTACTTTACAACAAGGCACGGCAGGTGAGTAGGCAGGTGGTTTGCCCATAGCCAGGAGGCAGCCTGATGTGAGCATCGGGCCTTGGGAGCTTGGCCCTGTCACAATGTCCTTCTGGTCCAGGCTGTTTAACATAACATAATCCTCAGGCATAAAAAACCATAACAGAGCCCTCACGGTCTGGAAAAATCAAATTCTGTCACCATTCAAGAGTGACACTGAGCTGCTGGATCTAGGATGACTTTACCGTCTCATTTTAGTTTCATCTTCTGTTATGAAAGGCACAAGCCCTCTCTTATTGGACAAGAAATCACTTCTAGTTTAGTCTGCCATCATGAAAGGTTCAAGAAGGAGGCTATAGTATTACTAGTGCACCAGTCTGGCATGATTCCAGCTTCAGTAGAAAGGCGTTTTACATTTGTCGTACTTAAAGGCTGTGGCATGTGACTGTGCCATAGCAGCTGATGATTGGATTTCCCCAGTGAATGTGTGAGAATGTCTCAGAACTTCACTGTTCTCAGCATGCAGCACAGTATAGGGGCTGGCTGTTCAGAAGTGTTCAGAAGACATGATTAAAACTATTCAACTAATTTGCTTATGTATTAGACAACATGAATAATTTAGGACACTTCTGAGAAGTGAGAGGAGAGTTAAGTTACTCCCTCTATGGCCAAATGCAGACAGTCAAAAAGTCTGAGGCTGAATTGATTCATCTTCCCAGGTTAGTCTAAGATTTGTAGATTGAACTGATAAGCAAGTAAACAGACATTCACTTTTAATTCCAGAAATGCAGCCACATGTCTGTAGCAGGGCCCATAGTTATATATAACATTATTAATATACTTGTAATTAATTTTAATGTACTTTATCTTCTTGAGACAAAAGGGAACCAATGTACCGTAACCAGTTCATGCTCAGCAGATAGCCAGTGGTCTACTAAAAGCTGCAGAAAGCAGAAATCAGGGTGTTTTTTTTAAACTGGAAAGATTAAGTGAAACCTGGTAACTAATAGGAAGTAAGGTATTTTTTTGAAGAGAAGTCTGTTTGTAGTTAAAACATAAGCTAGTCAGTCAAGAGAGAGGCTATGAGAGAACCTAAGGTTTATCTTGACCTGCTTAAGCATGTGAAAACTACACATTTCCATGTCTGCAGCAGGATTCTTCCTTAACAGATGAGCACAGCTTTTTTCCCTAGTGTAGACTATGCAAAGAAGGGTGCAAATACAGTTAATAAGTACTTATCTAAAAGTCAAAATGTGTATTTTCTTCCCTCACAGAGAAACATACCAAACTCATGGAGAAGTCACAACTTCAGTTCCTTTTAGAATGAGGGTGGAATTTAGGATAAGGAGTACAAAAGGTCCAAAGACACTGTGGGCGCATCTACATGTATGCTTTACTATGGAGTTGACTAATTAACTCCGCAGTAAAGTGTCATCATTTACACATGTGCTGGAATTAGGGTGCAGTAAACTAATTTACTTGGCTGTAGGATAGTACTGTAGGGGACAAGTACTATTCTATAGCAGAGTAAACGTGCGATTAAATACATGTGCAAT